AGGTGGTTTATTTATGTGAGCCTTAGCATCCTCATCTGTACAATGTTAGAGTACTGTATTCCCTACTTCATATGATTTTATGAGGAAGAAATGAAATGCTGTACACAAAGTGCTGGGCACAGGGACTGACACGTGGTACACCTTCAGTGTATAATATCTACTAATCATTCCACACATGCAAAGGCTATTTAATGAGAAACTTCTCTGTGCTGCACCCTTTCCTAGGCATGGATTAAAAATGGTGAAAGAAACCCCAGCATGAGCCCTGCTCTCATGAAGCTTACGTGATTATTGATGACACAAGGGTCTGATTAGGAACTGAGGTGTGCTATGAAGCAAAGGTACGCAGCTCCATGAAAGTATGGAAGAGGTGAACCTGAGCTATCTGAGGTTAAGGAAGGCCGCACAGGGGAAGTGGTGTCTGAGCTTGTTGGGGGAGGGGGGTGGAGAGATCATCATTCTAGTCGACAGAGCAAAGTAAGTGGGAAACAGAAAATGTAGTCACTTGTCCCTGAATGTTAGGCTTCTAAAAGCAGGGGTTATATTCAAACAGTCATATGCTGACTTATTTGTATTCTTTGTTCCCAGCACAGTGACCCGGCTCATCCTAGACAGCCAATAAATATTTGTGGATTGAAAGAATGAAGCTCTCTGACTCTCACTTTCCTTGTCACATAAAAAATGAATATGCTATGTCTACTTTCTAGGAGATAAGGGATCTAAAAACACCTGAATACACAGTAAGGGCTAATTGGCAGCTTTTATTGTTGTTACTATTACTATTGACTTATAATTTGCATATCTTACTTTGCTACTACATTGTAAGCCTCAGGTGGCTGGAAATGTATTCTCTTTATCTAAATATACTAAGATTCTTAGCACAATGTCTTGCACAGTCTACATTTTCTATAAACATTCAGAGAAAAAATTACCTTCTTAATTAGGAGTTACATTGAATGGTTAAAAGGACTACGTGCATCACCTTGGTGGAGGATTATAATTCCAGACTCCTTTGGAATCAGATTTGCTGGGGCAGGTGTCTGGAGTAGCAGCTTAAGTTGCAGCTTGGGATACCTGCATCCCCTATCAGAGTTCCAGCTCCACTTTCGATTCTATTTTCCTGCTAATGCAGGTTCTCAAAGGCAGCAGATGACATCTCAAGTGCTGAGTGCTTGGGTTGAGCCCAGATTGAGTTCTGGGCTCCTTGCTTCAACATGGCCCAGCCCTGGCTGTTGTAGGCATTTAGGGAGTGAACAAGTGGATGCAAGATCTGTCTCTGCCTTTCAACTAAATTGAGAATAAATAAATAAATATTTTTAAAAGAAAGAAATCAAATTTCTAGTTGACTTGGTATGGTCAAATTAAATGATTAGTAGGATAAAAATGCTTCTGTGTTACTTCCAAGTAAATCTTTAAGAAAGAGTTCATGAAGTTACCTCCCTTTGTCTCATACAGGAAGGACATCATTATTCCAGAAAGTGGCTGCTCCAGTCCAGTGCATGTCCTAGAGTCTGTGGAGGAGAGAAAAGCTGATGAGCGACAGTGTGTAACCAGTAAAGAGTATCAACCTTTGGTGTTAGGCATCCCCATCCCCAAAAATGGATACATTGAGAAATGAATGATCAAAACTAGGTCAACTAGTTGCTCTAGGGAATACTTAATGCTAGCTGCTTAGCATAAAGATAAAATATATAGGGAAAACCTATAAAACCTGTTGTAAAAACAAACCAGCATCTTTGGTGGAGAACAAAAAGGAAAACTGCTGCAGAAGACATCATAGACATATGTAATTTAAAGTGCGTAAGTTTGAGGTAGGCAATATGGCAGTGGTTTAAGCACATTCCGTGAGAGTGCCTGATTCAAAGTCTGGCTACTCTGCACTTCTAGACCAGCTCTCTGCTAATGCACCTGGGAAGTAGCAGATGATGGGCTAAGTACTTGGGTTCCTGCCACCCATGTGGGAGACCAGTATGGAGTTTCTGGCTTCTGGCTTCAGTTTGGCCCAGCCATGGCAGGCATTTGAGTGAACCGATTGATGGAAGATTTCTCTCAATCTCTCTTTGTGTGTGTGTGTATGAGAGAGAGAGAGGACAGACCTTCTGTCTCCATCACTCTGCCTTTCAAATAAATAAATAAATACTTTTTTTTAGAAAAAGTGTACGGCTTTATGGGCAGCTTTTTGGTAAAATGGCTAAGGCAATGCTTGGGATGCCAACATTCCATGTTGGGGTGCCTGGACTGGAGTCTCAGCTCCACTTTCAATCCAGACTTTCTGTTAATGGGCACCCTGGGAGGCTGCAGGTGATGACTCAAATACCTGGGTCCCTCCCACCCAAGTAGAATACCCATATTGTGTTCCCAGCTATTAGCTTTGGCCTGGCCCTGTCCCAGCTATTATAGCCATTCGGGAAGAGAAGCATCAGGTAGGAAATCTCCCTGTCTGTCTTTTGGTCTCTCTGCTTTAAAATGAATAAAAATAAATTTTAAAAACTGTTGAAGTGAACAACTTTAGGTCTCCCTCTCAGATTCTATCTAAAATAATCACTAGCATGTTTCTATTTTAATTCTTTGCATACCACTTAGAGCCATTTGATAATTTTCCTTTTGATTGACTAATGAATGGATTGATTTTGAATTACATGTGTGCCCCCACTAGAACGTAGTTCTATAGGAGAAAGGATCTTATTTGACTTGTTCCTTGCTATACTCACAGCACCAAAAGTGTATCCTTCACAAAGTAATAGACAAATAAAAGCTTTCTGAATAAAGGAGCACATATACAAAAATAACATTGCATACTTTTATGAATGTGTATACAGATTTGCAAAAATATAAAAGGGAGGTTGAAAGTATATAAAGAATATTATGGGGGGCTAAGGTATTGAATAAAGTCAGAATGGAGAAGAGTGAATTAGTAACCCCTTGTAGTTTTACAGGATCCTGTAGTTTTTACAGGATTTAGCTCTCTGAAGTGCTGTTACCTACTTTCATCATCATCATAATTTTGAGGTAATTATTAGCATCCTTACTTTATATGGGAGCAAAATGAGAGCAAGATTGATGAGGGGATTGCTATGAACACCAAACAAATAAGGGCAAGTCTGGCAGAGAACCTGGCCTCCACATCATTTCTCTTTCTCCAGAGAACACCAATATCCTTCAGATAGGAGAGCTAGTTAAAGGTGAAAGGAAATTAGCTTGAGACTTATGGGGAAGAGACTGGGACGAGTTAAGTCAAAATTGATGGAGAACAAATGAGCAAGCATTGCAATCCAAATAGAAAACAGGCTACAAATAATCTCAGGCAAATTGCTGAAACTTTCTGAGTATTACTTGCCTTGTCTGTAAAATAGAGTCATTACCCATCTTTTAGGGTTTTTGTGAGCACCAAATTGTATACCTTTTGTAGAAGACACAGCAATGTATGTAGCACTTAATAGACATTTGATGCTTGCATGTGTCTTCTCAGTTTCTTATGCTCTCGTGTATTATGTGGAACCATTGGAAATTGCCCTTTTTTTTTTGTAAGTAAAAATGATTGTAAATGGACAATTTCATGAGGTTCATGCGATTATCCTGTGAATGTAAGCCCTGATACCACTATCAGCTATCCCATCTGGAATTTACATGTGAGGGAAGGACAGATCAAAGTTTGAATAAAACAGATAATTGTTTGGAGCATGGGCTTGAGAGTCTATTTGCAAGGATAGATAAAAGAGATTTGCAAGGATGTAAGGAGGGGAAGGAGATTCCAATTGGCAGAGATAGGTTTACATAATCAGGGTTAGGTAATTGCAAACTAGACAGCTGCTCAATAGCTTTTGGCACCAAAATATATTGACCAGCTGGGGTATCATTAATGCTTAACAATTTTATTCTTATGACCACATCTTGGCCAATTAGGTTGTCTTTGACCACCAAAGGGTATAATACATTCTGATGTAATTGCCACATGTGTATCTGTGTAGCTCATATTCTATTACATTGATGTGTTGCATAATATACACTAAATATAAATACATTTGCTTCTTTGGAACACTATGTTTGATGGTGTGATTTAAGAGGAATAGAATTAAAATATAAGCTAATTTCCTTTTAAAAATAATTGGTCATTACTTGGGAAGCATGTGTATGTATGTGTGCACACGCACATGTTTGGGTGCTGAAAATAAAGGTATCCAAATAATTAAAATAATTTTCTTAAAAATGACTTTAAAAACACTTGTAGAAACAGTAAACTAGCTAGAGAAAGCTGGTTCTTCACAATAAATGCATACAAATAAATACAGACAGCAGGCAGGTTAAACGAGTAAAAACAAATTGTAAGATATTTGTGAGCCAAAACATTTTCCAGCATGTTTCCTATATCAACATTTAATACATCAGAATATTGTCAGAACCTGTAATTATAGCATTTGCTGAATAAACTTTGTGATACAGAGTTTTATTCAATAACAAACACAGAAACCTTACTTACTATCTAACCCAAAATACATGTGGATAAAGATTTCACCTGTAAATTGTTTCAGTTTTAAAGCGTCACCAGTTTATTTTGAAACCTATTGGTTATTCTCATGAGCACCTCTGGATTGATTTTAAAGCCTCTGGCTTTTTTCCTTCCTCATAATATTGGTACTTGTTTGGCTAGCTGTGAATTTTCCTCTTACCTATGTAAACTACTAAAAATAGCATCAATATTCATTCTTCAAAGCCAGAGAACTGACAGTAAGATCTTTATATGGGGAGTATTAAAAAAAAGGGAGACAACCAAGTTTCTTTTTACATCTGTAGAAAGACTCCATCATCTAATAGAAGTCAAAACATTGCTTGAGTCACAAAGGCAGCTGCAAGTATGAGCCTTCCTAAAAATACCCCAACTTCTTTCTTTTCCTTCCTCTCTCCCTCCCTCCCTCCCTCCTTCCTCCTTCCCTCCCTTCTTTCCTTCCTTCCTTCTTTCTTGGTTTTTTTTTTTTTTTTTCTGGTGATCTGATCAGCTATCATTTCGATGGCCGGGTTTATTTATTTTCCTTCTTTGGATGGAGGGCTTTTACTAACACTTGAAGAAGATAGGTCACAGAATACTGTAGCAGAAAGACTTTAGCAATCAGCTAGGTTGAGTCCCTCAAATATAGATGAAAAACTTCAGATAAAGAAGGCTTTTACAAACCACCTTGACCTTAAAGCATTTTGTACACACAACATTTCCAGACTGAATAATCAGCAACTTTACTGTTCAGGTTTTGCTTTTCAAAGGTAATAGTGAGAAAACTTCTTAAGTGGAAACTCCTGGTATAAAGGAGTCCTGGGAGCCAGCCTGTAGAAGGTGCCCATCTTCATGTTCTGTCTTCACCTTGCACTGGCACTCTTCCACCAACATCACCACCTTGATAACGGGGGGAACTCCGGTGCAGTTCAGTTGCAAGTGCATTGTGGTGGACTTGGCAGGTGAACAGTGGGAGCAGAAGGTATGGAGGTGTGGCACAGCTTCAGGAAAGTGAACGGACCCACATTTCCCAAAGCAGAGGTTGTTCTGCAAAACTACTTCTTCGCAGTCTTCATGGGTGATAGTCTAAAAGGAAAATACATTTCCCTTACATCACATTGAGTCATATCTTTAATACACAAATGAATAATTTAGACTAAAACCTCCAAAGCAGCTGGCGCCGCGGCTCACTAGGCTAATCCTCCGCCTTGCGGCACCAGCACACCAGGTTCCAGTCCCGGTCAGGGCACCAGATTCTGTCCCGGTTGCCCCTCTTCCAGGCCAGCTCTCTGCTGTGGCCCAGGAGTGCAGTGGAGGATGGCCCAAGTGCTTGGGCCCTGCACCCCATGGGAGACCAGGAGAAGCACCTGGCTCCCAGTTTCGGATCAGTGCGGTGCGCCGGCCACGTTGGAGGGTGAACCAACGGCAAGGGAAGACCTTTCTCTCTGTCTCTCTCTCTCTCACTGTCCACTCTGCATGTTAAAAACAAAACAAAACAACAAAAAAACCTCCAAAACTTTCTAATTTGAGGTATATTTTGTAATATTCAACTGATAAGCTCTATAAACAAAGAGCATCTCAACCCAATTCTCTTTATTGAGTAGGTTATCTTTTCAGAGATCTCAAAGTTAACTTGGAAATATTTTACTCTATACCATAAATGCCAAATGATAAGATATTTTCTCTAATGAATGTGACTACTCAGAAAAGTCCTCCTGGCAATCCTTTTCACATAAGTAACATGCTTTGATTTCTACTCCTCACAGTGCATTGCGCATAGTAGGTTATCAATATATACCTATTAAATTGATCACATAATGGATTACAGCATCATGAATTCGATTCTATCTAATTTTGCAGGACCTATGGTGCATTCAAGTCCATGAAGTCCCATGCAGCAGAGTTTCAAGTATGTGCCTACAAATTATCATGCGTTACACCACTCTTGCTTTGCTCATAACCTCACACATGTAGTTTAATGTGCCTTTCAAAATATATGAGTCAAACGCTTTAATTTTCATTTAATTGGCAGTAGAACTCAAAATAAAGATTTCAAAGGAAATTTGATTGCCTGATTCTTACAAGCAATTTTATAATTGCATATGGACCAACAAAGCAGCCATTATTATTTGATAATTGACTTGTTATTGTTACATGTCCTTGCCTTTTCAGGCAGAATTCTGAACTACAATGCATAGTCAATTGCCTTATAATACTGCCTGCTTAATTGTGTAGCATTGCTAGACTATAAAACTTTACCATTGCATTGCTTTTGGTTTAGTATCTACAGTTTTAAAGACTTGGTGCATTTTCCCAGTTTTAATTTAGCATGTGTGGGAATTTCCAAGACTGGAAGAAATAGAACCTTAATGGTGTGGAATTTATCATGATAACCACAAATCAAATAATACAACATGAATTAGGAGATAGATGGGGGGAGATATGACTTCACATCAAGGTTCTATTTTGAAAGCTTATGGGAAAATAAGTGAAACCAAATGATTTAGGGGATAATGCTAGAAATGATAAGGGGAATTTTGCCTGAGAATTGCTACATGCTTTGATTTTAACAGCTGAATAGTTTTGATGGGCTATGAAAGAAAGAAAGAGAGAGAGAGAAAGAGAGAGGGAGGGAAGGAGGGAGAACGAGAGAAGAGAGAGAGAGAGAGAGAGGCAAAAGGACAGAATGACATAGAGAGATATCTCATCTGCTGATTTACTCTGCAAGTACCTGCAACAGCCAGATCTGGGCCAGGCTGAAGCCAGGAGCCTGGAACTCATCCAGGTTTTTCATATGGCTGACAGGATTCAACTACTTGAGCCATCACCTGCTGCCTTTCAAAGTGCACATTAATAGGAAGTTTGATCAGAAGCAGAGGAACCACAACTCCAAACAGGCACTGCAACATGAGATGCAGGTTTCTCAATGACTGACCCTCTGCCAAAAACCCACACTTGATATTTTTGTCTAACCATCCTCAGATTTACTCCAGTAAATCTTTTATGTCAATAAAATTTTGAAAATTCAATGGCTTATTTTGCATTTACCCTTTCATGTTGAGTATTATTTTCAATAAACTTGCTTTTTTTTTTAAAAAAAAAAAAAAGAAACCCTTCATAAACCTAGGAAGTAGCTAAGTGTGAAATACAGAGATCAAGAGCATTGTACATGGATGTAAGAGTGTTTGGGAGAACGTCTAATGTATCTCACCTTATTTAGAGATGGAGTTAACCTGCTTACCTATACTTTAACAGCATGAAAGATACAGCTACAGTGAAGCTCTGATGATTGCACTAAAATTCCCAGTGTCCTAAGTAGGGGTACAGTCTTACTTATCTCTCTGGGTAGATCACCATACAACATTTACAGAATGCCAAGAAGTGATGAAAAACTGTGAAAGAAATTTATGGAATAGGATCATACCTTGATGAAGATCCAAGGACCAAATCTGGAATTTGACAAGACTTGGGTGCCCAACAATCTCTCTCTACCCTCCACCTGTCCCAGCTGCTTACATCCCCCACAACACATACCTGGCTGAAGGGCACTGTCCTACAGGTCTCCCAATGAACTTCATGACTTTTGATGGGCAAGATGATCCCCTGTGAAGCTGGACTCTTTCTGAACATGAAGTGATGCCAGAATTTCTTGGCTTCTTCTCGAAGAGGAGATTTCTCCGCTCTCATCCCATCCATTGGCTGAGTGAGGGCCTGGATCCCAGGTGAGAAGTGCTCATCATCCGAGCCCCTGGCCGGGTGCAGTTCTCTCTCTGTCTTCTTCCAGAACCTGCCAAACTTGGACAGCATCTTCTCTCTCTGCCTCTGGCTTTCCCCTGCTGAGCTGGCACCCATCAGGTGTGGCAATGCCACAAACAGATCTGGCTTATCCTCTGCTTCTTCCTGGTTGCCCATGGGGAGCTCCCTGCGATGTCTTTCTAAGAGCACAAGGGAAAGAGGACTCTGACTCTGGCTGCCATGCAGACGCTGTCCAGCCTTCCCTAGAGGCAGGAGCACCAACAGCTGAAATAAGAGGAGACGCATGCTGTCCCGGGCTGAGCTGCTTTCAGATTCACAGATGGTGAAGCCCCAGGGAGAGGCTCCCTCTCTGCAGGACTGTGAACAAGGACATCCTATATATAGATACCTGCCTGGTGGGATGGGAAGGCAGGTGGTCAGTAGCTGGCAGAGTAAACACATAGATTGTTTGCTTCAATTATGTAGTGCTAATGGCGTCCCGCCTTCACTTGGGTTTTGTGTATTTTAGAAGGCTGCAGTGAAAGCCTGGGGCCCACCGGGTAATTAGCTGACAGTTTAGCTATCATCTGAGATTTAAAGAGAAGTAGTAGCGAAAACAACACATCCTTTGCCTGGATTTCCCATCACTGTTTTTAGAAGAACCAGCAGCCGCTAACATTTGCTGTACATCTGCATTGTGCTGGGATAGGAGAGACACGTTTTCATAGGAGAAGTATGCCAGATTCAAATGAAAGGCATACATTTAGCAAGAGTCCAGGCCTTCAGGAAAGCTATCTGCACATGCACACACACACAAACACAACAACACAACATGAGTGACTAAAGGAATGTGTCAAAGTTGTAAAGAAGGGAAAGGAAGAGAAGGGAGGATGTTAACTCTGTTAAGCAGGGCACTTACTGCTTCTGACTCACATGCAGATTGGGGCTGTTGACTTTTCTGCGGTGACAGAGAAGGGGATGCATTCACCTTTTCCACACTTGGAAACTCACAATTCCCAAGTTAATCCTATATTAAGAATCTAATACTGGGTGCTAAATTTCACAACTGGCCAGGCCAGTAAACTCTTCCAATTGTTAACAAATTTCTCAACAGGATCCTAAGTAATAGACTGACAGCTTGGCAGCCTTCAGTGAGGATGGGGAAGTGTCTCCCTCAGGCCATTCTATCATTTTTTTTTTCTTTCTTTGAGTAAAGAGCTAGACGTGAGAACGTGAGAACGTGGATTCTGAAAGCCAGGTTTGATAGCTTGGGGCATGAAGCTGGCTGCACCTTTCTTTACCTTGCTGAATCCACATCATCCTCTCCTATTCTCCAGTAATTGGTGATCAGATTAAATAACAATTGAGACAAGCAAGTCTTCAGGGATAGAGGAGATTTTGTTAAAGGACTGCCATTCAAAGCTATCATAAATCCTCCAGGAGTGGGAGAAAGAAATATATTCGCAAAACTGAAACCTCAGAATTGAGCTCAATCAACCTACCATACCATTGGACTAATATTGCCGCTGGGAATCGATGTGATACTTGATTATATTCCTCCCTTAATTTACTCAACACTTTCTTTCAGTAACACAATAATCCTGGAATATATCCTGCTTTTTTCAGTACTGCCTAGGCTTTCTTTCCAAGAGTGACCCATTTGATTCCTTTTCCCAACATTTGTGTTCTTGATAATCATGCCTGATTTCTATGAGATGAAGCTTCATGTAAGTTCCTCTACTTAGAATCATGAACCATTTTTAAGTGGATCATCATTTTACCAGAATTCTATGAGGAGATGTATTTTACCTGTACCAAATATCCATGAAACCTGTGCCAGTATTACAACTAATTCAGACTAAAAAGAGCATTAGTATATGCCATGTCTTTTAAAGCATTGTTTTTATTAGTTGCCTACTCTGTAGTTTCTTAAAATGCCTCTTAGCCATTGGCTTTCTAGAGCCAGTCATTATGACCTCTGCTAAATAGGGTGTGGAAGCTAGATCGGCAGTATTCCCTGATTTCCCATTGCTATCGATTGTGGTATGTAACATCTCCCCAAACTGTAAACCAACCCAGAGATTCCAACTGGGGTCTACAATGTTGGAACATGGGATATAGCTTCAAAAATTACTGTTGAACTGAAATTTGTAGAAGACCCACTTTGTGGGCCAAGAATCATAGCAGATATTGGAAGATGGCTGAAATGGATGACCATTTGGTCCCTGTCCTCAAGCAAGTTCTACAGTGCAGTGGCATCGTATGTTCTCTGAATTCATTGTATTATCTGCAGGGACATCAGTTACCCACTCTTAACTTCCCATTTTTAATTTTAAACCTATTTTTTAATTTCCCTCCCTCTGGCTCTAATTTTGGTGCTCACGAATGCCAGTTAAAAATCATTGTGGAGATTCTCGCTTGGCTGCTGTGTCACTGGTATTGAGGAAATGTGCAAATATCCTGCAGGGTGAACCTAACAATGCAAAGCCTTCCATGATGAGCATTGTGGACCATAAACCTGTCTCCAAGCTCCAGCTTTTATTGTTGAGTGCCAGCAACTTTTGCCTTTCACTGGGCCCTTTTCCCAGTTCTAAAGCTATGAATGTGGTACACTATAATCTTCAAACATAGACAAATGTTTTATAGCTTTCAGCAAACCCATCCTGCTTCTGCTTGTCTGCAGTTGACATAGGCATCTAGTCACTTCTCACTCTGGATGAACCAAATGGAGTAAATGTGAAGGAGGCCTCCATACACAGCAGGGAGCTGTTATGAGGACAGCGCCTCACCAATTGTTGATTAGGGACCAAATACCACAATGGAAGTTGGGTCTGAGCTTATAAAGTGAGCTCAAGCCTGTAATGTCCACTTCCCCACGCCTGCAATGTATGCTCACTGGGCCAGCTTCAGGCAATCTCAAAACACAGTTATCCCTATTTACAACCCCTGCTCAGCATGATCTCTCTCTGTTCTCAACTTGTCCGGTATTTCTGAGGTGTTTTCAGGAATCTGGAGGACTTCATGAAGACACCTAAATATGTTTCCATAGACTAATGGTGCTTTTACAAATGGGCAAGGAAACAGGAATAAGAAACCCAACAACTGCAGAGATGGATTGAGGCTGTAAATCTTGGTATATTTTCAGAGTTTTGACTTACCTATGAGAGGATAGTAATGGCAACATTTTCTGTCCCTCTCACAGAATTTCAGAAAGGAGCTAAAAAAGAAATCTAGTGCTCTCTGAGGAGAGACAAAGAGGCTAAGTTCTTTCCTAAAACCCCAGTCTTAAATCAACAAGGGGTGAGAGACAGTGTTGAGGGATGGTGTGGGTATTAAATGGGACAATGGAAGAGATGGAAAAGGGAATTGCGAGTGATGAATTTGTGGGAGAAATCTGCTTGGGGTACATGTTGTTGCCTCCTAACTACCTCCCTTTTCAAAATATAGAGTAACAATAGTCACAGCTGAGGAAAGCTCATGGGTCCTCGTCACAGCCTCCTGCCCATCCTGTGGATTTGAGCATCTGATAACCACACCGTCCTACCCTGCTGGCTGGCCCTACAGAACCCTCAGGCCACTGGCCTCCTCAGTTCCACAGGTAGGTAATATATACTGGGATGAGGGTTGAGGGAGGAAGACAGCAGGTTCCTGGCCCTGTCTGTGATGGGGGGAGGGACTGTGTGGGCTCGTACCAGAGTTCAAAGTGCAATACCAAATTCTGGTTCCGGTTGGGCAGGTTGTTGGGTTTCATATCCCCATTTCCTCACCCATTTGTAAAAGCACCACTAGTCTATGGAAATATCATATTTAGATATCTTCATGAAGCCCTCTAGAATTTCTGTAGACATCTCAGTGCTTAACCTTGGGTCATAATAACCTAAAGGGATTTTCTAAGGTCCTGGGATGGCAGCTCAGTAACACTGCTTTGGACATTAATGTCCTGATTTGGAAAGTTGCCAGCAATCCTAGCCCTAAGTCCACATGGGAATTCCAGCCTCATCTCACTGGTTCTTCTGTTATAGAACCCAGAAGCCTGGGCCTGACTCTGAAGTAGTGGGGGAAGCAGGAGGTGAGAATCAAACCCAGCCACTCTCCCCCTGGAACTCCCTTAATGGAGTGAGTTGATCTTTAAATGGAGCTGACGTGCAGCCAAGTGGGCACAGGAACCACAAGCTTAGGGTGGACTGGGGCCTAGTAAAGGGGACATCAAAGCCATAGAGTTCCATTTCAGACCCACTGGAGGCCAGAGGACTGGGGGCATTGAGACTGGCAGGAGTCAGTCAATAGATCTTTGTAAAAATTAAGAGTAGGAATGAGAGGGAGGAGGAAGAAGGGTTGCAGCATGCATGGAGGGAGGGTGGGGGAAGTATCACAATGTTCCTAAATCTGTATATAAGAAATACATGAAACTCGCATAACAAATAAAATTTTTAAAACTTTTTTTTTAAAAAAGTCAGTGGATTGGCCATCCTTTGGCTGAATGTTTAAACTGAGCACAGATCTAAATCAACTGTTAAAGTCACTTGCATGGGCCTTTGGGGCAATGCTGAAGTCACTTCTTGAGTGCCTGGGTTCAAATCTCTGCTTAGTTCTCTGCTCTAACTTCCTGCTAATGCTGCCCCATAACCTCCTCCATGGAGGCAGCAGGTGCTGGCCCCTGCCACCTACCTGAGAGACCAAGATTTAGCTCCCGCCTCCTGGCTTTGAAACTCTGTCCATTATGGACATTTGGGGGCTGAACCAGCAGACAGGAGGTCTCTCACTTTTGAAAAAGAATACCAATAGTATCATGAGGATGTATATTATTTTTAAAAATCCAATGAGGGGCCAGCGCCGCGGTTCAATAGGCTAATCCTCCACCTTGCGGCGCTGGCACACGGGGTTCTCGTCCTGGTCGGGGCACCGGATCCTGTCCCAGTTGCCTCTCTTCCAGGCCAGCTCTCTGCTGTGGCCAGGGAGTGCAGTGGAGGATGGCCCAAGTCCTTGGGCCCTGAACCCCATGGGAGACCAGGAGAAGCACCTGGCTCCTGGCTTCAGATCAGCGCAGTGCGCTGGCCACAGCACGCTGGCCGTGGTGGCCATTGGAGGGTGAACCAACGGCAAAGGAAGACCTTTCTCTCTGTCTCTCTCTCTCTCTCTCACTGTCCACTCTGCCTGTCAAAAAGAAAAAAAAAAAGAAAAAAAATCCAATGAGGCAGAATCTTTCCTCCCAAAGGAAAAGAAAATAGGCAAATTAGGACAAGTGGTTCCCCCTTAGATTTTTTTTTTTGTATTTATTTTTATTGATTTGAAAGAGTTACAGAGAGAGGTAGAGACAGAGAGAGAGGTCTTCCACCCAATGGTTCACTCCCCAATGGCTCCAATGGCCAGAGCTGCACAGATTCAAAGCCAAGAGCAGGAGCTTCTTCCCGGTATCCCATGTGGGTGCAGGGGCCCAAGGACTTGGACCATCTTCTACTGCTTTCCCAGTCCACAGCCAAGAGCTGGATCAGAAGTGGAGCAGCCAGGACTACAACGGGCTCCCAGATGGGACACCAGTGCTTCAGGTCAGGGCTTTAACCTGCTGCGCCACAGCGCCAGCCCCCCTTACATGTTTTAATAATCTAATTTTAAAAATTGTTCAAAACATAAAATGCTCCCTCCAACGCTCCATCCTCTCCCCACCACAAGGATATATTAGGAAGATCATCATTCCTCAACATTGCTCCATTTATTCAACTCATTCATCCATTCACACAGCACATATTTGAATACCAACTCTGTGCCAGAGTCCTGGGCATAAATGATAGAGTGTCCTTGTCCTTGCCTGGTAGATTTTACAATCTGTAGAGATAGTCTAGTTTCATCAAAATAACTTATATAAAGAAAATTACTAACCGAAGACTGCTTATGGCCTGTCCAGGATGCCTCACTGATGCTAAACCTCTGTCATGCTCCTTCTTCCTCATCCTTAAAATTTATCTTGATTGTTTTGCATTCTACAGAAAGCTGTTCTCATTATTTCGTAATGTAGGTAGAAGAAGCTCTGGCGTTGAAGCCAGAAAAACTACACCAGATTCCTAGATCTGCCTCATAGCTCGTAAACTATATGATTTCAGGCATTTATG